CAGTGTAGACCGCTTCAGTAATTATAACGAGAGTTTTTGTGAAAATGCAGAACCCAGTTTTAGACTGAAGTCATGAAGCGCTGTGTTTCTTTGTTATTTATTCCCAGTTTGAATAACCGTTGTGTTTCTCATGCTGCTGAAATAACAATATTGTGAAGTCTTCATTGTCTAATCTGTAAAATGGAATTCATAAACAGTTCATGCTTTTCCCCTTGAAACAACACAGATACAATTCAATCATTCATATGCTATAAAATGGATGAAAATGTTTTTAATGATAAAAAGAGCTTGTTTTTATTAAAAGCAAGACTTAATAATATCTCATATCAAAGCAAGTTGTTGTTTTTTGTTTTTCAAGGACACGTGTGTTTCGTAAGGTTTCAAGACTGGCCAATGACGGAGTTGACATTCAACATGAAGTCATCATATTTTTGTGGTTTAGGGGTATCATATGATGTTTAAATGTGAATATTAAGATCCTGGTGAATGTACATGGATAGAGGTAACAACTAATTGATATATGTGTTCATATAACTGTTTTTAAAAGTTACCGTGATACCAAAGCAGATGCACAGCAGACATATACTGTTATGAGATGAGAGAAATTAGATAATTTGTGTTCCAACGATATATCAAAATACTTAAATGTGAATTTTGAATAAAAGCTTTATTAACAATAACATACTCACTGTTAAAACTCACTGAGTTTTACTCGCAAGGTAAAAAGCACATTTTGATAAAAGACAAAAGTTGGGAGGTTGAATCAAAGCATAGCTCAGTAGCTTAGTACATGCAAGATTCATGAATAAATTAAGACACAAATGTAGTTTCATTTGTCTGAGCACAATGTTTTATTTTAGTCCCACTTCTCAAGAATCAGTGATTTGCTAGTTATATAGCTGATTATAGTTCGGGGAACAGACACAGTCTCTAGTATGATCTCTAGGTGAAAGAGACTCTGTAAAAACAGAAAAGTCCTGAATAAACAGGAACAATGGAGATGTGATTAAAGTTTGTGTCTCTCAAGCATTAGGCGTCAGCACCTTTATTAATACTTGTTTGGTATTTATTAATCATGAGAAATATACTCACTTCAGATGGTAAATGCAGTGTATAAGAGGTTTTGGCGAGAGCGCGGCTGCAGCTCCACATCTGAACGAACTAACGAGAATATTCAGTATGACACTGAACATCATGACATAATCACTTTAAAATGCTCCTTCAGTAACACTGCACTCACATGTGGTAATTCAAGGCTTTTGTAATGAATTTTCTTTATTTTAGCTCTTTTTCAGAGGGGGAATCAAATCTGAAGATTCAAAATCAACCCGATTAGAACTGATTCCAAATTTTCGTCCATTACACTTCATCAACTATTCGTCCAGCGTCTAGTAGAATTTAGTGTATCTTACCAATTCTGTTTGTACTAGTGCGAGGCCAACGACAATAATACAATATTAGTATTTGTGTTAACTATGAGCAAGGTAACAAGATCTGGGCAAAATTTTAACTTTAAAATACACAACACAAGACAATGATTCTTATAATGAGACAATCATTTATTTGCTAATCTAGATTACATGGAACTAAAACTACCAAAAGCACACAGACACACACATACGGTTCAAAGGATGAAGATTAACAGAGTTTGGAGAAAATTTATAGTTTTTATTCTGTGTGAACTCGTATGTGTATGTGTTAACTCATTAAAGCTCTTTGGAAAATTAACCATGTTTTTACTGTAGTAACTAGTTTAACTATGGTATTTGCTGTAAAATCACAGTTTTCACAAATTTACTATTCTCTCACTATAGTAACCATAATTATGCTATTTGTAGTAAAACTACAGTAACCACAAATTGAACATAGTTACATTATAGTAACTATAGTTTAATATTTGTAGTTAAACTATGGCAATACAAATGGTAGGCTAATATATGATGGCTGGGGAGGAGAATCGTTAGTTTTTCCGTGGAATGTAGAGATTCAGTCGTTCATTTGTGTCTGTTCACAGAGGCCCTACACTGCGTTTCTGAAATGTTAACATTTCTATCCATATATATTTTTTCATTCTGCCACCTGTATAAAGATACAAGATAATATCTGTCTAGAAATATAGAAAAGAATATAATGTAAATTCTTCAAAATATAAATAAGTCAGAATGAAAACAAATAACTACACTAGAGCACATAATGTATAAATATAGTTTACTTTTCTAATAACTACATTCAGTGCATTAAAGTAGCTAATTAATTCATGAACATGTTAGTTTTATATGTGCAGTGACAGTGATCACAAAATCTCATTTAAACAGAAATAATACCACAAAGCAAAATGTACAGATAGCCTATAGCCTATATTATAAATCTCTTCATATTAATGTATAGATTTCAAATGTCCCACATTGCTCATTTTATAGGCTCAATATTTAGCAGTATCTGTTCTTAATTTTAACCATGTAAAGTATAACAAATTGAACTGCCAACTAAATATCAGGAAAAAAACGTTTTAAATAAAATCAGCAAAACTTGATATCGGTTTGCACCCATTCCTCTCACAGACCACGATGCATTCAATACCAGCAACATTATCACTAAACATCGAAACAATCCTTCACACAAACATACAATAACACAAAACCGCTCAGTTCTTGATGAATGTTTTCCTCACACACTGTTCTAAGCGTTTAAGTCAGCAAACACACAAACAGTGCTGTACTCGATGATAACAAGACAGAAATGACCTCGTGCATTGTTGCATAAACATACTGTGTAACTTATAGTTTACAATTGTTTAAATATGCGAAAAACGGTTAAAGGGGTCAATTTTCCTTTCTCTTTGGAGTGTTACAAGCTCTTGGTGCATAACGAAGATCTGTAAAGTTGCAAAGACTAAAGTCTCAAATCCAAAGAGATATTCTTTATAAAAGTTAAGAGTTAACCCCACCTACCTAAAACGGCTCGTTCTAACACGCCCCCACATGTCTACGTCACGATGTGGGAAGATTTGCATAACGCCGCCCAAATGTTCACGCAAAGAAAGAAGGCGTAACTTTTATTCTCACTGTAGTATTGTTGCCGCTGCCGCCATGTCGTGAAGACGCTGTGTGTTTCGTTGTGAAAGCGAAACTTTGTTTGTCCTTCCAAAAGAGGACGATATCCGCTTCGTCATGCCAATGTAACAGAGTTAAAAAGAACATTAATTCTAAGGATATTCATGGTTGAATTACATTAAATTAGAGGGTCAATTAAATCAAACGGTGTTTTGGTGCCCCCTGGTGGTTAATGCGTTGCAGACATTCATTATTTTGTCCTTGCGTGCCTACCGTAGTTCAGCAGAAAATGGCTGACACTGCTGCGGGATCTAGAGCTGATCTGTGCTGGTCGCTGAGGGAATACATCAACTTAGTGCTGTGGATCGCCGGATCGGCTTTCACCGTGGACGAAGCCCGTGGTCGTCACATGTAGTTGCCGCTCCTTCGTCGAATCCGCTGGGCGTGCCGTTCTCAACCCCGCCGCCTTTGCTCATCAGCAAAACTTGATATCGGTTCGCATTCAGTAACAGCAACATTATCACGGCAAACATCGAAACAATCATTCACACAAACATACACAAACACAAAATCAATCAGGTCTCAATGAACTTACGTTTTCCTCACATGTTGTTCTAAGGGTTTAAGTCGGCAAACACACAAACAGTGCTGTACTCGATGTTAACAAGGCAGAAACGAGCTCGTATATGTTGCATAAACAAACTGTGTAAAGTGTATTTAACAATTAAATATGCGAAAAACTGTTAACTGCTCACCTCTCCTCAGAAGACTCGACGCTGAAGAGTGAACGCGCGCATCACCGAGAGGCGAGATCAAATGAAAATCAACAAAAAAAGCGCAAAATTGTATTATATAACGAGTTACTAACATAGACATTCAGCCGTGACCCCTCTGAAGACTCGACGCTGCCGCTGCGTCCGAAAGCTGCCCAGGGCCTAAAAGCCTGGTTTAGCAGCGACCAAAGAATGAGCCATTGCGGAGTGGGCGGTCGTGTGTGTTATTGAAGGCTTGTTGAATGGCATTTCATGCAGCTCCACTATCGAAGAGCG